TTGCTGCAACGTTCTGTGCTGTATGGGTTGATTAGATTTTAATATTTTGCTGGGGGATAGTAACGTTTTATACATATTTTGTTTAATAATAATAATATCTATTGTGTATAATGTAAATAAATATCAATTTTCAGTATTAGTAATGTGTATCAGAACATAATTTTTTTTTATCTCGACCGAATTCATATCACTCATCACGCTATTAGCCGCAAGAAGCTGGAATCTATTTCATTCAGATTCCTGCGCAATGATTTCTGCGCAGACGCTCGATGTTCGATGCTGCCATGTAATGGCACCTTTAATTTAAAAGAGATAGATTCTAGGCTGAAATTAGATTCTGCGCAATTTTCTACGCAGACGCTCTACGCTGCATGATTGGTTAATTTCTTCTTTTAGAACTAACAAATCAACGTCGAGTGTTGACAAGACAATGGGCGTTTTCCAGCAAGGTACACAGATGACACAGTGTACATTATCACGCGATTGGCTATCAAATACAGAATTTTAAATTTCTTCATTTCACAGCCAATCATGTGATAACGTGTAGTACACTGTGTCATCTATGTACCTTGCTGGAAAACGCCCAATAACTGAGCGCTTTCTCTGCCGAACGCGCCCATTAATCGCTCTTAGAGCGATTAAACTTGCTACATTCGAAAACGCTATAACTCTCAAATATATATGTATATTCGTCTCAAATGCAGAAATTTCTAGAAATTTAATAAGCAAACTTATATGTATGTATGAACGTACATACCAATTTCGTAGTGTGAAGAAATGGGATATTTTAGAAATAAAGGCATCCAACTGTATTTTTATTGCAATTATCGAAAAGAAAAAAAGGCTATTATCAAAAGATGATCTATTATCTTATACTTTCTCAATGAAATCTATTGCTTTATATTTATGATTTTTTGTCTCAAATTTTACAGCAGGGTAAATATATAATTTCAGTAGACAAACAATAACAATACTTGCTTATTGTTTGCATACTTTGATTACGTGTATGTGTGTGTATGTGTGTATATTACTCTGCCTATAGACTTGTTGATTGCATGCTTATTACTACATGCTTACCATTTTGTAACGAAAAACTAGAAACTGAACAAGGTCTTGTTTTTCACTCATATTTACCTACAAAATTATTATAGATAATTAGTTATTTTTATATCTGCACGTGCTGAAATTATTATTCAAATTACAAATATTTTATACGCGATAGCATTATAGCACATTGTTAATAGCAATGATATTTTAATGACACTTGTATTAATTGGTATAAAAACAAATGAATATTCGTACGAAACTAGCAACACAAGCAATTTCTTGTCTAGCGTAATTCTTTAAATCAATTATTTGGCAGTTAAGTTTCAGTGTTGTTTGTATTGTCGGCTGTATTGTCCTCTTTCACTTCCAAGATTCTCGGACCATACAAAAGAACATATGCGCAATGCCAATCACCACCTCCGCTGAGTTTTAAAACTTCTTCGGTAGTAACAGCCGTAACAACATCATCATCGCATTTCATCCACGTATCACCCTTTTGACAAATCCATGCGACATAATGACCGCTACTGCTGGAACGTCCTCTATGCGTCAGAACCGCTTGTAATTTATAATAACCGCTATTATTTGATCCCAAATCTGCAATATGAGTATATTAATATGATGAAATTTTTAGAATGTACATAAATGAATCCCAAATCACATTTTTGTTCATATTCTTACCGTTTTTAAACCAAAATGGTTCTTGTTTTATTATTTTCTTTATGCTATCTCCTTTATCTTTAGCTTTTGCATTACAAGATTCTTCTACCAAAGTATCTTCATATTCTTTGAATTTCTCACGCATTGGTATGAGTTTGTTTTGAAGTTCGGGGCTACATAATTCAAAAGCATCAAATTCCAAGGGAAATTTTACATCTTTCAATATTTTTGCATTAATCGCTTCTTTTTCCTTGTAATAAAACCGTACAAACTGTATAGTTAAATATGCTGGTAACCTGCTAATCTTAGACTGAAAAAGTACAAACATACACATACACATTATATATATATATATATATTTTACATATTTGTTGTGATATTAAAATTATAAATATTATTTTATTTTTAAATAATCCGTTTTTTTTCTTTTACTATGATATGAATAGCTTCTTCTCATATAAATATCATGTGCATAATTTTGAGATTACTGTATGTATATGTGTAATTTAAAAATGTACCGTTTTTGTATAAACGGCAT